TCCATCCCCACCTTCCTCATGCCCACCCCTCCTTTCAAGCCTTCTCTCAGCACCTTCCCCCCCAATTAAGTCCGCAATGCCCTTACTCTCTCCTCTCCCAGCATCACCCTGTCCCCCCTCCCACTGACGCTTCCCCTCCTGCCCTTTTCCTCATTGTCTGCACTTGGCCACATAGCATTTGTCTCTCCTCCTTGCTGTCGCTTGGTGCCTTCCCCTTTCTTCTCCTGACCTGCTCCCCTCCCCTCCCCTCAGCACAAGCCCCTTCCTCTGCCATCTACCTTCTGCCTTCCAGTTTGCAGGGCAGCCACGACCCCAGCCCAGGCACCAAACCGAGCGGTGCAACACTGGGCTGTGCAGTTTTAAAGTCCCAGGCCATGATGTCACGCCACGCCCGGGTGTCTCCCCTCTCAGCTGCTGCGCGGCATGCGCTCCCTCGGCCCCATGTGGCCTGTACTGGCCGGCACAGGGAAATTTAAAGTGCAGGGCTGCAGCGCCCTGTCACAATCCCCCTACTCCTCTAGCAGCCACCAGATGGTCCTTCGGCAGATGGCCCACTGGGAAATTCCTGGTATCCTGCCGGGCCAGTCAGCCCCTAGCGCTGGCGTGGGGCCTATTGAAGTGCAGGGCCTAGGGCAGCTGCCCAGCTCGCCCTGCCCTAATCTGCCACTGGCTAACATTAAGTTTCCCTCAGAGGCCTCCAAGTTGTGTACCTGCTACTGGTCCTGTCAGCCATGGTGAACACTTACTGAGACTGGGACTTTCTGTGATACAGCAATTCCATAATACAGCCGCTCCCCGAGTTACGAACAAGTTACGGACCAACACTTGGCCAACTCCGTAACTCGGCTCCCATAGAGTTACATGGCGACCGCGCTGTTCGTAAGTGCGGATCACCGTTCATAACTCAGATCTGCATTTACGACTCTTTCGTCTTAAGTGCAGATGGTCGTAAGTGGAGGTGGTCGTAACTTGGGAAGTGGCTGTAACTTCAAAATGTCACTTACAATTCATAAGCTGCATGAGGAAAAGAGATTTGCATTAGGAAGGTGAAAGGCTAACTGGTAAGCATCACGCTTAATGGGTGATGCTTACCAGTTCCAGTTAACTGGTCCCCCGCCAGCCCTACAGGTGGGCCTGTTGTGGACAGGAGCTGCTCCGGCTATCCAGAGCAACCCCTGCCTGCAACACATTTGCGCCACCTAACTTCTGTTGCTGAATCATGAGTGGCAGAGTCAGACTTATTTTTTAGAATAAAAGGATTTGAAAACAAAACTCTTTGGAACAGAAGTTCATGGCAAATGTTCCAGCCTTGTACTAGCACCCGGGGGGAAAAGCTGGTTTTTACGATCCCAGATGAAGTGGGTTGGGAACATGGCATTAAGTTCAGTTTAAATAATTACTCTTACCGTAGCTAAAGTATGTTTAGTCTAGCAGTGTTACTTACTTTTGAATATGTAACTTCATGTTGCACCAGTCCCTTTAAGATACAAATGGGTTGTGTAAGCATTAGGGATGTTCAATATTGAGTAATTGATTAATAGAATAGTCAATGCAATTTGCAGACTATTCGATAGGGCACCTCAGCCTTTGAAACGTAGCAACAGCCCTAGGGTTGTTGCTACACTTCAAAGGCAAAAGAGCCGCGTGGAGCCCGGGGTCAGCTGGGGACTCTGCTGACCCTCATCTGTGTGCTGCACTGTTGCTTTATGCTTCTGCTTTGAAACACTGCAAGGAGCCTCATACTGGGCACCCTGTGGTGTTTTAAAGCAGCAGCACTGCATGGAGACCAGGGTCAGCAGGGAGTCCCCAGCTGATCCCGGGTGTCACGCAGCGCTGCCTCTTTAAACGCCACATGAAGCCAGGGGACACTCCAGCTGGCCCCAGACTCCATGCAGCGCTCCCACTTTGAAGTACCCCTACCCTCTTTCTGCTGCTTTCTGATAGAGGCAGCAAACGGGGGGTAGTCAGCCTGTTGACTATCTGATATGCATTTGCTTTCACAGGCTATCGTCTTAAATTGGAAAACTACTATGATACTTAGGTAGGGAAGCTATTTTGCATATACACAAGGGAACACCCGGGCTTTCACTTTACCCTCGTCCACACAAAGATGTAATAATACAAATGAACTATGCTGCCTGCTACTACATGTTCTGCTGACCTAAGTATGAGTGAACATCCGGAAAACTGGGTCTCTCACCTTAAGAGAGAGTGGCAAAAGATCAAACCATGGGTATGTAGTATAATAGCTGGGGGAAGGCATTGCCTTCACAAACTACCAGCCTGGCCCATACTCTGCACCCAGCACACCTAGGCTATGTCTACACTGGGGGTTCTTGCGCAATAACTCTTGCACAAGAACACATCCACACTGCCATGCACTTTTGCACAAGAGCATCCATTGCAGTGTGGACACACACTTGTGCAAGAAAGCGCCAATGGCCATTTTAGCCATAGGGCTTTCTTCCGCAAGAATCCTGTCCAGTGTCCATACTGCCCTCTTGCACAAGAGTGAATACACTTTCTTAGAAAAGAGCATAGCTCTTGAACAAGAAGCCCTCTCTTACCATGCTTTACTGTAAATCATCTTGCACAAGAGCTGGAGGGCAGTGTGGACACTCTGTGGAAGAACTGCCATTCTTGCGCAAGAACCTGCCAGTGTAGACATAGCCCTACTGTAGGCAAATTATAGCAGTGTTACTGCTCCCAGGGCCTGCCCACCCTGTGGAATATGGAGGCTCGGGATGCACAGCCTCCATGTGCTCCAATGCCAGGGAGGCTGGACCCTCGCACAAGCCATCCTCTGAGGCACACACCCACCCGCTCTCCTTTACTCCCTATGGTGGTGGTGGGGCACAGAGAGGGAGCTTGGCTCCCATGAGGGCAGAGCCTCAGCAGAAGGGGTGGGGCTAAGGACTTGCCTTTCCCCAGTCCTACCTTCACTGACTCAAGGGCTCAAACACTGATTAAGCTGGTAACTGATACACAGCACTTGTGTGGTTGTAGTATAAAACCATAGCTGTTGGGGGTGCCTTCACTATCCATTTCCACTATCCACTGGAAATGTCATCTTCTTGTCACTTCATAACCCTCTGCATGTGAGACTAAATGGGGGAGGAACCATTGTGATTTTGGATGTGCTAACATGGAATCTAAACCTAATTAACTACACTGCACCCTGGCCTTTGGAGACAGCATTGCATAGACCCTTGCTGTAGGATGACCACCACCCTGTGTAAGTTTTCCCCTTATTATTCACTGTTCACCACAGGTGAAAAGGGAATGTAAAACCTTTTGTTTCTTAAATTTGTGCCCCTCCTGCCTACAGGGACTTGCTCTTGTACTCATGTAGGCTGTTAGGTCTACCTCCATCCTCATGTAGATGGAAGTCTAGCACATTCAGCCCTTGCTAGAGGAGCCTCTTTCATTCTTCCAATCCCCTCTAGACTGGTTTTCCTCTTTCTACAAAGATGTGCCACATTTAAAGACTGATGGGATCTGGGGAGATGGATAAACAACTGTCAAACCCTTAGATCATAGTCCCACTGCTATTTTGTGGATGTCCTGGGGAAGTACTGCCCTGAAAATTGAGTAGGAGCCTGGAGAAAACCAATGCAGCAACTAACAACCCACAAATCCTTCCTGTTTTCTCACCCAGGGTCATTACCTGACCTTTGAGGGAGGCAGAAGCTGGCAAGAGCCAATGTTGCCATCATAGGTCATGTAGGTTTGGGAGGAAGGGAAGAGGGGCCCAGCTGAAATCATTTCCCCCCTCCAATAGTCCCCCTCACCCAGAAGAGGTGACACTCCTTCCAGGGGCACTAGCATTCACGTAGTGGCCTACTTTCCCCAATCTCACAATAAGTGAAGGAGAGGCTTCACTGCCAGAGCTCAGCCAGACTGGTAGGTGAGGGAAGAATTTTCACTGGACACACTACACTGTGGGAGGGGGTGTATAAACAAAGCCAGTCTCTTGTCCTTAATCACACTATGCAAGCCCTTTATTTCCCCTTACTTTGCCTAATGCACTCCATTAACTTCCACTTCAAGTTTTAAAAAAAAAATCATGGCACAAATGTGTTGACACCATCACATTGCTCACCATTTGCTCCATGGCTATAGCAACTGTAAGCACCTCAAGACAGTTAACTGTTGGTGCAGGGCTTAGCACAGTAGAACCCCAGGAGTGCTCCATAGCCACTACTACTGCAATAAAACAGTACATGAGGTCTCCACCCCAGCAGGACATTAACCTCCACTGCACATCCTCAGGCACATTTGTCCACATGGCCTTATGGTTTTTAATTGGTATCATCAGTATGTGCAGGGCAGTGTGTAAGTATAGCAGAACTAAATAATAGGGAAGAAAAGGCTGCAGTATACCATTAATCTTTGTAAAAAGGAAGGATATTTTAGAAAGCTTTACCATGTTCTACTTGAGTAGTCATATATAGTGGGAAGTTAATAAAAAGCCAACAGATGTACAGATAAAATGTATTTTAATTAAGATTAAATATATTATCCAAAGTATTTTGAAATCTCACTTGTACTGTACTAAACAGCCAGAGGCAATAAAAAAGTTCAGAAACTGAAAAGTTTGGACATCCAACACATGACAATAAATGTTGCCATTTAAAGCGACATACACCGCTCTCAAGAACAGTTATATTTTTAGAGAAAAGTCAAACTTTTTTTTAGGGACAAATCTAAATTGAAAACTCAAAGAAATATTACTGCCTGTCTTTATTTTTTGCATTTTAAATATAGTTTGTTTTCTTAAAAAAACCAAGGTAATTCCTAACTCCATGGCTTATATACTATATGTACACATGAGCAGAGCATTTTACAAGTGTTTTGGATGGAGCAGCACTAGCTAGCTATAAAGCTGGTAAGTGTGTTGCTGAACACAATTTCAAGACAAGTTAAGCACTCTATTTTTTTCTTCTTCAGAATTGGTACGAGAGTGAATCATGTACATTCAAACCACATATTCAAACAAAACCCCACAAACTCCAACATCCCTATTTTTATGGAACTGTATAAGCTGCAACTAATCGATGGAAATCCTACTGCAATAATTGATTTGAGAATGATGCAACACTAATCAAGTGCATTACTCCTTCAGAAAGAGCAGTTCATCTTTACAATGTGCCTGAACCCTCTCATCCTTTCAAAAAACAGAGCCCCACAGAAAAGTGCACTGTTACTGCAGATGTGCACCAGATAACCATCTGTATTTATTTTTAGAGTAAGAACTATGCAAATGCTTCAACAGTATTATGAAATATGGCATGGAGATTAAAGCTAAAATATTAAGGATCTGCAGTGACATTCTGCTTTTCCTTGGAAAACATAATTACAGACTAGAATTAAAGCATGGAAGGTTTGCACCCAAGTACCCCCAGATTAAACTAAAATGGGTTGTCCCTGGCAGTGATTTCCATAATATTAGTGCAACATTAATTCCTATGCTTCACCAAAATGATTCAGATAATCATTTAAATGCACTAAGTGCAAATTTAGGTTTACAAAACACACAAAGCAGGAACTGAGAGTTGTGCAGAAAACTGGTTTCACTTTGAAGTCTACCCGTACAGCCAAATCAGCAAACAAGACAAGAACAGTCATCCCCTGGTTCAGTATCAGAATCCCACCATGACTTGCAGCAGGTGGAGGGGGACTAAGATTCTGTTGTGTCACTAGTTATGTATATTTTCAATTGCTATCCGAGTTAAAGCTTCCAATTTTGAAGTCAGAGAAGGACCTTTGTCTTTACAGTTGTCCTGATCTGGACTCTGCAGCCCCACTGAAAACAAATACCCTTCTTTTATACACTACACTGTTTTAAGAGATCAAATAGGTCACATTTTGCATGACAACAGGAGACACAACTTGTTTCAAGTTTTAATAGTGTAAAAATCTGACATTAATACAGTTGAGAGACTTGCTACATTGCAAATTGTGTCCAATTCTGTCCATTAAGGATGAGACTTCCCCTAACAACAATTAACAAGTTACCATTCCATTCCCAAAGCACACAGACCAGCCAACACCCCACCAACTGTTCAAACACTATGTGCTTGTATGTGTAAGTAACAGCTTGGAGGTTTTTTGCATATGCAGTTAGTGTGACTTTAGTCTGACAGTCAGTGATTTCATTGGCTAACCTCTTGCTGCCAGTAAGCGCTGGGAGATGCTGTACTAAGCCCCAAAGTAATCTTCTTTACAATTGTTCAGCAGAAAAATCCCAGCATCTAATGTTAAAGTTCACATACAAACCGTATAGATACACCAGACAGGGTAAAATACAAACTCAAAAGATCCATTACATTTGAAGAAAATTCCAAATAAAATGATGTCTTCTGCACAGCCCCAGCCTCCGCCACTGCAACAGCTTTATCTAGTGTAATAGACTCTGTAGTAAACTGTTTTTGATCTCCATAATGAGTAGGAGTTGTCAAATTTAAGGAGATAAACTCCTCTCCCTGGGTACTGGTGGCTGCCAGCATACACTTCTTCATGACAGTCTCGTCTGTATACAGGCACTATTTCATCTAGCTGAGGCTTGTTGGCATTCTTTTTGGCTTTCTCTTCACTGTTTTCTGTAGTAGAAAAAATAAAGCAATCATTACATGAGGGGGGATTTAATACAAAAAGCAAGAATAAAGTCAAATTGAGTTTTTAGGTTTTTGCTAGCCCAACAGGAACCAGGAACGCACAAAATCAAATACATTCCACTAACAAAATACCCCCTATGAGTTTAACTATTTGGGAGTATGGATTTTTGTGGGTGAGGTTAGGGACAGTCACAAGGAAGAGTTGAGGTAAGACTGTTAACTTCATGCTGTTGTGTACGATTTCTAAAATGAAGCATGGAAATCAATCTTTATTCCAGCCTCAGGAAGTTCTTTATTTTAAAAAAATTAAAAAATGGACGGACGATATTTTGTTGTGACATTCATTATATTTACAAAGACAGGAACACCAGCCTTTGGTTCAGTCTGGTGATGGGTTTCTTCATCAAATCCAATCAATCTTTATTAATTCATTAGTGTAAAATGCTAAACTATATTCATACAGATGCAGGGCCTGATTTTAGGGGTGTTAAGGACAAGTCAACTATCAGATCAGCAAATGCTTATTTGGATATTCAGTCGACTAGTCCATTTCCCCTCCTCCCCCCGCCTTGTTGCCTCTATTACAGTGTTTCTCAAACTTAAAGACCAAAGAACGCCAAAATATATTTTTTTTAAATGAACACCACCAAGGATTTTGTGTTGAGCAAAAAATAGAAGAGAGGCAGGGAAAGTCATTGAGCAAGCAAAAAAAGTTGCCTGCTCCTTTAAGGGCAGCCATTTTGAACTCTATTCTCCCCAGCACACTGGTGTGCTGCAGAACACAGTTTAAGAAACACTGCTCTATTAGAGGCAGGGGGAGGAGGAGGAAGAAGAGGAGGGGGATGCTGCTGCTTTGAAATGCTGCAGCAGCCTTCAAAGGGGCAGCACTACACAGCTGAGCCCGGGATCAGCTGTGCAGCACTGCCACGCATAAAGCCTGGGGTCAGCCGGGAATTGATCCTAGGTTCCAGCATGGCATTTCCAGGAAACCCAAGATCAGCTGGGGAGTTTCAAAGCAGAAGCATGGCATAGAACAGGGGTCAACAGGGGACTGAGTCCTCTGCTAACCCTGGGCTCCATGCTCTGCTGCTGCTTTGAAATGCATAAGAACTCTTCTCCCCCCCACCCCCCCAGGACTCTTGTACACTTCAAAGCTGGCACATCATGTGCAGCCCCAAGTTAGTGGGACTTCCCACTGGCCCTGGGCTGCACACAGGGTTCTGCATTCCTCCTCTGAATCCCAGCAGGGGTTCTTGTACATTTCAAAGGAGGAATGCAGAAGTGCCTATCAACTAGTCAATTAACCATTACTTAACATCCTTACCTGATTTTCAACCATCTACACTTGAGGCCCCAGCTTCATTACAGTCAATAAAAGCAATTGGTGGTCAAATTTCAGAGTTGAACCATAAACACTTTGAGGTCCCCTGACAAGGCACTTTAAAAGCCCAGCTGTTTTGGAGTCCCCACTTGAGAAATGCTTTTGCTCAAGACCAGAGTTAATAGAACATAAGACTCAAGAACTGGGAGCACAGTAAAATAAAGGTTAGCCAAGCTAACTCGATGCATCTGTGACAAGTTAGGGTAGCTAACTTGTTCATAGGAGCTGAAGGACAGCCTATGAAGTGCCTAACCTAATAACTAGACTGCAGCTGGCTGAAGGAAGGTCACAGCCTGAGGCAATTCACTACTAAGTGAACCACAGGTCATTTTGTTCACTTTTCTGTGCAGAGCAGTTGTGCACCTCTCCAAACAAATCCCTCTGCACAATTTTTGCATACAAGATAGTGTACACCAAAGTTGGCATAGCATAGGACAGATGGCTAGATCACAAGCTCCTGCAATGGCATGCCAGACTCCCCTGATGGCTGAGAAAATGGACCTGAGTCCACATGTTTGGAGACACAGGTCATTGCAATGTGTGGCCTTCAGAGACAGGATATTGAGGTTAGTTTCCTTCTGGTAAAATTTCATGTAAGCAGGGCAGGAATTGCATCCTTCATGGGAGTAAAAAGCATATGGAGACTTACTCCAAAACTCAAGATGTAGTGGTGAAACACAGAATAGTAGAAATGGGCATTGAGTTGTTGGATACATTAGATATTTGACAAAACTCTGAAGACTAGACAGTAAAAATATTCCTATATCAGAGGCAGGAGAATAAAAGACAACTTAGTAAGTCTTTTCTAGAGCTCTGCATGGATACAAAATGGATATCTGCAGATTTACAGGGCTCTAGTCTTTTCCATCTCTGACTTTTAAGACTGGTATGTCTCATGCTCTCTCCCATCAGGATACTTTAACTCCTCTACAGATGACATTTTCAAAGGGGCCTCTACCCAACCTCCATTTCTGTGTGAACATTTTATGCACACGAGGTTTCTTTTCTAGGTTTCAAATCACTGCACACAATGCACCCAGTGCCAACAGGGAAAGGCAGGAAACCATCAGCTTTAGCATTGCCCGAAGATCAATTTCAAAGAAAGCTTTCACCATAGTTGCTTCTCAAATTGATGCTTGGCTTGGTAACCTTTTAGGTTTAAGCTTTTCTTCCTTTTTTGAATATCCATGAAGGAGAATATCATTTAGCAATGGCTTGCTCTAGCTAGCACCAAGCATTATCTGAGTTAATATCTGGCAGAAGTAGGAACATCCAAATTTGTTTACCATGCGGTCATATATTAGGAAATCCAAGAGCTTGAAGGTCACATCCTAAAACAAAGATTTCCCTTACCCTTCAATGTGCAGGGGCTACAACTCCTGGCCTCAGCACAGCAATAAAGGCTTAGCACTTTACAGCTCTTTCTATCAAGGAACTCAGTACAGAAGTAATTTTCTCTCTCAATACCATACCCAGGACAGTATATGTTTTACAAATTAAAAAGTCAAGGAAGTGGTTAAGTGATTTGTCCAAGGTGACAAAGTATCAGGATAAGAAACAAAATCCAGGCCTTTCCCCCTTGCTTTGATTACAAAACCAAGATCATCCTTCTATCCCAGCATGCATCTTGTTCAAGATGAGCATTGCATAATGACTCCCATAGTCTACATGAACACCCTTTCAGTGTTAAAGGAACTTTTTTTTTTTTTTCTCCAAATCTCTTCTGAAGTGTTACTGTTACAGCATCCTAGATTAGATAATTTCAAACACTGGTGCTGTTAAATGCTTGTTTCCCTTGGTGGGTCTTTCATATCAAAAGAGAGAACAAGATAATAAAACAATCTCAAAAACTGGCAACAGGGCTACTAAGGCATATGCACGAACATACCCATACAGCAATAGCTCCTGAAACCAAATCATCACCAGAATTGACATTTTCACTTAACCACATTTATTCCAATTGGGTTTTCACTTTGAAAACCCTACTGCCTTGAGAGCCGCCCCCCAGACACTGGACCCACTGAGAATCCTGGTACCCTTGCCATCAGCCCCCACTGCAACTCTGTTCAGGTGCTGGTGGCAGGACCTCCTTTGCTTGGGTAAGAAAAAAAACCTTTCCTATGAGAACTGCACCTGCCTGCTTAAGGAGCAGTAGTTTGGACAGGAGGCATATCTTGCCAGATGAGGGAGCAATAGTGACTCCTCCATAAGCCATATAGGTGGCTCCAGACATACACCTCAAGGACTATGGGGCCATGGACTCTCCCTCCCCCCAATGGATGCAATTGGACTATGACTGCCTAAGCCCAGCACCAGGCAGATGAACCAGAAGTACAGGCAGTCCCCGGGTTACGTACAAGATAGGGACTATAGGTTTGTTCTTAAGTTGAATCTGTATGTAAGTCGGAACTGGCATCCAGATTCAGCCGCTGCTGAAACTGATCAGCAGCTGATTCCAGGAAGCCCCGGGCAGGGGCTTCCTGTAGTCAGCCACTGGTCAGTTTCAGCAGCGGGTGGCTTGGGGGCACCCGGGGGAGGGGAG